GATGATGTCGGCCAAGTATTTCGACAATTGTGCTATATGAGCATATTTTTCAAATACATATTTATAGTTTATTTTGAATCCCAGAAAATTCTCTCTTTCTGTATATAGTGCCTGTTTCAGGTGAGGGTTTTTGGGATCTCGAGTGTAAATAGTAAACATTCTTATTATAGAGTTCACTTTAGATGTTTTTCAGTTCAGTTACTGTTTTTCTTCTACTTTTTCGTGTTCTGTTTAAATAAAATGAGTAAACGCCTCCTAATGTCAACGATCAAATTCTAGGAAATATGTCCTTCAACACGTCATATGTCATTGGATCTAATGCGATCATACACATAAATAAACAAAAATTTCCTGTTTCTCCATCCCTTTAAAAAGCTAAGCGCATACTAACACCAAATCATCGCCAAAAACCCATTTTCAGTCAAGGGTCAGTGAATCGAAGATGAACGATACTTGTGAAACATCTATACAATTTGAAGAATATTTATTTACTCGTTATCATAAATCTTATGATAAATTAAACGAAAAATTAACAGGAGAATAGAAAATTCAAGATAATATTAAAGATGTTGTATTGAATTCTGTTTTAAATAAACATGATCATTCTGGTTAGAGGAAATTGGTTCAGCAATGATGATAATCATGAATAATAACAAAACGAGTAAAAATGAAAAATCTAATATAAAAACAAAAATATTTGAATTAGTAGAAAAATTTATTAAAAAATTAGACAACATTGACAATAATGAAAAATTTATTAATGAAGAAAAAATGAAATTATTTTGTACAAGAACACTAAATCGTCAAGATTTTTGGGAATTAATGATTAAAAATGGAATATTTACGAATTATCAAGAATTATTTTTAATTGCTAACAAAGAAATAGAAAATAAAAATTATAATAAATTAACGATAAATCGATAATATTTTTTGAAAAAATTGATTGGAAAAATATTGAAAATATAAAATATGTTTATAAAACTTGTACAATGAATAATACCGATAAAATTTAAAAATATTTGAAGAGCAAAAATTAATTTTTATCAAATCAAATGGCAAGAATTAACATTGAAAAATTACAAAATTTATCAACAACTGGAAAATTTGATTCTATAAAATCGAATAACTTTATGAAAATTATAAATTTAAATGAACATGAATCAAATGAAATATTTCAATTACATTTTGAACAGAAAATAATTACAAAAGATGGACTATTTTTAACAAATAATTTTAAAAAAATCTTAAAAAAATACGAAATTTATGCAGATAAATTTCTTTTCTATTTATTAATATTCCTTTTTTAAATAAAAAAATATAAAAATATATGTATTATTTATCTTTATTTTTCTAAAATTACACTAAATTAATACCCGTTTCTACCCACAAGTATATGCAAAGTAAAAACCCTATATTTCAGTCTAACATGTGAAACTGTACAATCGACCTGGCTCTTCTTATAAGACTTATGGGAGAAAATACTTTGTGCCATTATAATCAGCGCATCGAGTTCTGCAAACTGACATATTTCGCATTCGAGAATCAGCGTGGCAGTCGTGGACATTCCCTCGTTAATTATTAAGACTACGTAGAAGCCCAAACTGTTTTCCAGAGATGGGCGAGTCACCACTTTTTCGAGTCCGAGTCGAGTCCGAGTCGGCAGGCTTCGAGTCCAGGTTCGAGTCCCAGTCGCATAAAAAATTGACTCGAATCACCTCGAGTCATTTTCTAGTGATAGTCTTCCTCTTGATTCATTTTTTCAAGACAGTTTACTACTCACTGCTGTTGTTTTAAGCATTCGTTTTTACTCATTCTGCTGAACACTTCCTAGGTGTTATCTCGACTCTTTTTTGCAAGTTGGATCTAAAGATGGGCACCATATAATTCAACTCACAT